ATTTCTCCTTTCCTGATTTTCTGTCCTCATACCTGAAGGTAAAGTCATTTCTAACCCCTTGACTTTGGGCTTTCACTGCATCTTTGTGAGCCATGCAATGGTGCTGTTATTAGCACCACCGAAGGTCTGCGCCCTGGACATCAAAGGATTGAGCTGACTTTGTGCATCCCAAATCCCAAAGCTTGCTGACCTTGCAGGGGCAGCGCTGTGACAGTCTCACAGCATCCCATGCATTTGATTGCTGGATGCGCCCACAGTAATGTGGATTAGATTTGATGTGCCAACGTTTCCTTGGTTTCTGGTGTGCCCAGACATCTGTTTGGGGTTCATACGGCTGCTGTATGAGATGCAGGTTTGAGAAAAGGGGTGGGAGGTTGCTGGTACGTCAGGATCACAGCGGTGGGACCCGGCTCTCATGGAGCTGGCTCTCCACGTGGCTGACTATTGCACAAACCATACAAAGCCGAGAACATCCCAGCTGCTCAGCTCCTGCCTCTTTCTGACAGCCCTCTGACAAAACACTGAGTTTCACCTTCCCTGAAGCGCAGCACAGCGCAGGGCTGTCGGTGGGTACGGTGCTGCTGGGGGCAGAGAAAAGCAGGGCTGTCCCCTAAACACATCGGGATGGTGGGCAGAGAAGGGCTCTGCAGGTGATTTTCTCAGGGCAGAGCAGGAACAGACCTGCTCATGTCTCATCCCATGTCCCGCAACGGCAACCACGGAGCCACACCTTATAGCCCCTGTAGGATGGCTCCAGACCACTAGTGCAGAACCCACTATTAAATACTTAAGGAAGGAAAAAAAAAAAAAAAAGAAACAACTCTGATTAAAGGCCTGGGATGATGAGGAATCCACCGCAGCCCCAGGTCCCACACCCTTCATTACCGTTGTTGTTAAATCTTTGCTACTGAATGCAGTGAAGTCCATCTTCCGTGTCCTGCCATGAACCTCAGCGCTTTTTGACCATTTCTTGTCAATCCCAATTGCCATCTCCTGCAGAAATTTAATAGAATAAGATTCTTCTGGCTCTTCCTACCAGGAAACATCCTTTCATAAGGTTATTTGGCCGTATGTTTACATTTGGTGTACGTATGCCATCCTCTGTGTACACAGAGGTTATCCATAGTGTATATATGCACGTACTGATTTCTGCAGGCTCAGTGATACAGCAATCATACCCAGGCACGGTAAATACAAAGCTGCAGCACTCTGATTCATAAAACACAACACCCACGGCACACTTGTGACTTGATACTGTTATCTCCTTGTCCCCTATCGAAAGCAGGAACGTGTCGGCCCTTTCCTTCGAAAAGGTTTTGCAGCAAGCGAGCAGCAGTGGCATTTCCCTTTCCTCCCCGCTGACCTTACTGGGGGGGCAGTAGGGTCTGTACTGGGGCATGGTTTGATGCTGCCATCACACAGGGCACTGCCCAGCTCAGCCAGCCCACAGCATTCCCAGCACCAGGGCTATTCCAAACTGCTCTGCAGCAGCATGCATTCCCTTCAAAGCTTCACGGCTTCATTCTCCCTCTCACTGTTACTTCGTTCCTGATGGTCTTTCGGGGCTTACAGTGCTCTTAAAAGGCAGCAGTGTCGATACGGCTGCCTGTGTGTAATGCGACACAGAGCGATGGAAGGCCCAGCGCTGCCCAGCCAAGTGTCTGCCCTTTGCACACCGACAGGAGAGCAGTGCTGTGTCATCCACCCTGACGGCTGTCTTCCAGCAGCCTTGTGCAGTGCTGTGCCCTGCAGGGCTGTAACCTGCACCCCGCACGGCTGCACTTCGCACCCTGCATGGCTGCATCCTGCACAGCTGCATCCCTTGTGCCTCATTTCTTCACAGTTGCACCCTGCTTAGCTGTACAGCAACCTGCATGGCTACATCCTGCACAGATGTGTCTTGCACCCTGCATGGCTGAATCCCACATCCTGCATGGCTGCATCCTGCAGAGTGACATTCTGCACCTCGCACAGCTGCATTCTTCATGGCTGCACCATACACAGCTGTATCCTGCACCCTGCATGGCTGTGTTCTGCCTGGAAGTATCTAGCACCATCCCTTGATGAATCCTGTACAGCTGCATCCTGCGTAGATGTATCCTGCACAGTTGTATCCTGCACCCTGCAAGGCTGCATCCCAAATGATTGCATCCTGCACTTATGAATCCTGCAGCCTGCATGGCTGCATGCATCCTGCAAGGCTGCATCCTGCACAACTGCATTCTGTGTGGATGTTTCTCACACGCTGTATGGCTGCACCCTGCACCCAGAGCTCCTTCTGCCCATGAGTTTGCAGTCCCCTCCCCGCTGTCAGCCTTTGCACCTCCTCCCTTTCCAGCAGCATTGCAATCCTCTGATGCAATTAACAGCCACAATAAGGGACTGTGGAAAAACATCCCTGTGTGCAAGCAGAGGAAGAGAGATGCAGCAGTGAGGCTTTGCCAGCGATCAGTGGCACGGAGCATTGGATTGGTTGTGCCCAGTGACATGGCACAACCACGCTGCAGAGAGCCGAGCTGCTCTGATGGCTCAATCCACTCTGCATCAGAGATGTCACCACCAAGGACCATCACTGTCACTCTGAAGGCGGGAGGTGGTGTGGATGGGATCTGCCATCAACCAGCACTGCGCCTTGCAGCCTGACCTTTGTGGATGCTCACGGGGCTGTAATAGTGGCAGTCCTGTAAAGCAGTGACTTGTTCTCATCAGACTTCGCATTTCTACGGCCTCTTTAATACAAAGATGTTGTCACGGATTTCATCAGGATGGGAAAGGCATAAATTATGCCTGGGTACTTCATCATGCAGCTGAGTTGTGTCGAGTTTCAGGAAATCGTAGAATTGTGGAATTACAGAATAGCTGGGTTGTAAGGGACCTTACAGAACACCTGGTTCCAAGCCCCAGTATTAGAACTAGCTACCTATCAGGAGGCACAGAAAGTCAATGAGAGAATCAAGATGCTTGCACTTTGGCACTGCCCTTAAGGAATTCAGCCTTGAATTGAAAACAGCCACGGCACTGTCTTTTTTGTAGAAAAAGAAAAGGACTGTGGGGAGCCCGTCCCTGCCCTCAGCACCCTCGGATCACATTTCTGCACCTGCCCTAAAGTTTGACTTTGGTACAGGGGGCCATCTGTCCCACCTGCACTTCCCATTGCCTCCCTGCCTCAGTTTCCCCCTCTCACTCCACAGGATTTGCACTGGGGGTCAGAGAAAGAAATGCTGCAGCGTTCCTGGGGGATGGGCAGGTAGACAGACAGACAGACAGAGGTCTCAGCAACAGAAATGCCTGGGAGCAGGAATAAAGACCTCATCTGTCTCCTTGCTGCTACAGTGGGCCCATTATTTGCATGCTGAAGGCGGTCTATTTGCTCGCAGCTGGCTGCACCCAGATGGAATAATGCTCTCTCTGATGGCAGCAGTGGGGCTGTGGACCCAAGTGTCGTTGGGCTTCCCTTCCTGTAGGAGTCTGAGCACTTGGCATTTGCTGGGCTGCACTGTGGGAAGGCCAAAGCAGCCCCCCTATGTCAGCAGTGCCAGTTTGTATAGCGAACATCCTGCACAGGGAGCTGTGAGTGAGCAGAACACAGGATGCTGAATGCTGCCTCCAGCAATGAGCTGTGAAGCTGATGCAGGCTTGAAGCTGCTGAGGGAGGAGCAGGTGAGCAGCACATCCCAGCTTCCACAGGGGAGCTCTGTAAACATTCCGTACCCTTCTCCCTCCGATCTAGAGATGGGGATGTGGCGCAGGACCATGGCAAAGGCCTTGCAGAAGTTCAAGTGGACAACACCAGCTGCCCTCCCTTTGTGCACCAATGCTGGTACTCCATATACAAGGACAGTGCTGGTAATGCTCGGCTGCACTGCCAGCCAGCCCACTTCAGCTCTCTCTTACAACACTTAAGAAACTCCTGACACCCAACACCTCCCTACACACGCTTTAATCAAGAGCCAATTCCGTTTCCCAAACACTGAGTCATCCTCTGTTATTACCTGGCACACGGCACCCAGCACAGCAGCCACATCTTTTCCCTCAGAGGGATGTTCCTTCTCCTCCTCCAGCTTCTCCCAAGTCACTTCTTCATAGAACCACAGAACGGTTTGGTTGGGAAGGGACCCCTAAAGGCCATCAGGTCGCACTCCCTGCAGTGCACAGGGACACCCGCAGCTGCAGCAGTGCTCAGAGCCCATCCAGCCCGACCTCAGCTGTCTGCAGGGATGGGGCAACACCAGCCTTTCTGTGCAGCCTGTGCCAGGGCCTCACTGCCCTTATTATAAAGAACTTCTTCCTTGTATCCAGTCTACATCTCCCCTCTTTCAGTTTGAAACTACTTCCCCTTGTCCTATCGCAGCAGACCCTGTTAAAAGAGTGTCCCTTTCTTTCTCATACCGCCCTCCAGGTCTTCATACCTGGTTCTCATACCTGCCAGGTATGAGGTCCAGGTTCTCATACCTGCCTCTCAGGTCTCCATAGGGATAAGGTCCATTCTCGGAACCTCTTTTACCCTGTGCAGGGCAGGGCACAGCACACAGGATGCAACACAGGAATACGACACAAAGCCAAAACTCTAAACCAGCGATGAGCTCTCACAATCCCAGGCACCCCCTTCCCATCATTGTCAGGTCGCCACGGCAACCCGTCCAGCCAAAAATAAGGCAGAGAGCAACACTGGAATCTGATTCGGTCAGTTCCTCGTGACGGCTGTGCGGGAAGCACGGCGCGGCAAGGCACGGCGCGGCAAGGCAAGGCACGGCAAGGCACGGCAAGGCACGGCACGGCACAGCACGGCAAGGCACAGCACGGCACGGCAAGGCACGGCACAGCACGGCAAGGCACAGCACGGCAAGGCACAGCACGGCAAGGCACAGCACGGCAAGGCACGGCGGCTGCTGAATGCGGGGCGCGGCCGCAGGGCAGAGCCGGGCGCTCAGCTCAGATCCGGGCGCTCAGAGCGGCCCCGCTGCCTACAGCTCCCGGCAGGGCCCGCGCGGGGCGGGGCGGGGGGCGGGCGGTACGTCAGGGCCCGGCACTGCCCGGCTCCTCCGGCGGAGCTGCTGCTGGCGGCCGGGCGGCGCCCCTCCCGCCGGCCTGGAGAGCTGCCATCCGGTAACGGGGGGCGGGCGCGGCCGCGCGGGGGGGATCGGGCGCCGCGCGGAGGGCTGGGGGCGGCGCGGCCGAGGGTCGCGGGGGGCGGCGGCCGGCGGGGCTTTGTGCGCGTGGCCGCGGGCTCCGTGCCCTGCGGCGGGGTGCAGCGGGCCGCCCGCCCGGCTCGGGGCGTCGCTGCCCCGGATTCCCCTTCCCGTGACGTGCGCGGAGCGGCGTGCCGCCCTCCGGCCCCGTGCCGCCGCGTCTGTAAGGACGCGACGATGGCTGACAGCCGCGGGCTCCGTCCGAGGTCGCCGTCTCCGAGCCCGGAGCGGGGGAGGGGGACGGAGGGCGTTGGGGGGAGGTGTGCGCGGCGGCCGGGCGGTCCCGGTGCCGCACGGATCGCTCCATCGGGGACGTTATTTCCCATCTGCGGGTGCGCGAGGGCAGCGGCCGTGCGGTTCTGCTCCCGCTGCAGGAGCGGCAGCCCCCCGCGGTGCTGCGCAGCCGGGGCCGGGCTGCCCCTGCACGTGCGGGGAGGAGGCCGTGAGCGCCCGGCGCGCCCCGCTGCACCCCGACTGAGCTCGCTTCCCTTTGTCTTGCCCGCGCTGCCTCCCTTCTCGCGTGCCGTCCTTCCAGCACCGCTCGGGTGGGCACCGGGCCGCGGCTGGAGGTCACTGCCGGCACAGAAACGTGCGGTGGTGGCGCGGGCGCCGAGCTGCCGGGCTCTGCCCTGTCCCCGCACAGACGCGTCGCGGCGTGGCCGGGTGGTCGCAGAACCGCGTGACTGTGAATGAGGCAGAAAAGCTCCGGCATCCACAGTCCGACCCCGCTGTGCCCACTGGCCGTGTCCCTCAGCCGTAGTCACAGCCCTAGCGTGGGTTTCTGCTGTCGCGGCAACCTATCAGAGCTCGACCGAGTTGGGAAAACCGCAGTCTGGTGCAGATCTACGCTCCTTCTGCCTTGTTCTGGGCAGCTCAGGCAGTGTTTGCATTTAAATCACATCCCTCTGGCTGTTTGGAGCACAGGCCCTTCTGCAGCACCTGCGCCCAAAGGCTCTGCAGATGCCCCGTGCCACACTTAAGGTGTTTTAACATTGCCCGGTACCATTTGTTGTCCTTTCTCAAACCCAACGTTGCTTTTAAGAAGCAGAATGATGCCACGTCACATCCACGTGCAGCAAAACAGCACATCTCAGTGGAGCTGCAGGAGGAAGCCCAGCGCCCGGGGCTCCTGAAGTCCTTCCTGAGATAGATGAGCTGAGCCCGGTGCTGTGCTGGCAGCGGGAGCAGGGAGCTGCCTGGAGTGGCTCCTTGCTCTCACACTTGCTGCTGGAGCTGAGTCAGCCCTGCACGCTGCTGGGATGGGAATGGTCCACAGATGGTTCCTCCTTTGCACGGTGATGTGCAAAGCATGGAAACACTCTCTGTGGTTGTTGTCCCTCGCAGGCTGTGGGAGGGAGATGGGGAGATGCCGTTCTGCGCTTGCTCGTGCTTTCTGAATTTTGCTGGCAATAGCTATGCCACTGTGACCCTCTTCTCTGTTCCCAGTTTTGGGGTTTGTCCCCCGTTCCTCACAGCACTTATCCTTTCCCCTTCTCTTTTACTAACAGGAGCAAGGTGAGATTAGCAGCAGTTAGCACCAGTTGCATTTCTGCCCGTATTCTGCATAGTCTTGCAGGCAGACCCTTCTGAAACCTCTGTATGTTTGTGTTCCTGCTGCTGGACTGAGCCTTTGGCTGACTTGTGGCATTGGTTTAGCAGAACCAAACATTGGCGTTGCATCTGATATCAGTAGGTTTCAGAGTTAGCCGTCCGCTGGTGCGTTTGGGGCAGCTCAGGCTGGGGCTTTGTGTCTGAAAGATGTGTGGTGTTGTTGTTAGGGCTTACGGGCAGCTGACGTCCATAAATACTTCTGGTTGTCCTTGCGAAACTCCTCGGAGAAGTTCTGCTCCACGAGTGTCATTACCGAGTCATCAGGAGTGAAGGGCCAGCACTGCTGGCCAGGAATTGCTGTTCTCTGGGGAGACTGGCCGTTGTATTTATATTTTTATACAAATTAGAATAATGTCGCTTGAGTGTGTACAGACAGGCATTTACAATATAGATGCCTTGCTGCTGACCCGAATTGAAATTCACTTCAGGCTGAGACGGAGATGCCACTTGGGTATTTTTAAGCTATTTTTGCATCCAACCACCAACTTTCCTGCTGAAACAAAGCAGTTACTGTAGAGTAGAATTGTAGGGTGGTTTGAGTTGGAAGGGAGCTTTAAAGGCTGTCAGGTCCAACTCCCTGCAGTGAACAGGGACACACACTGCTCCATCAGGTTTCAGTTCTTCCTTGGGGTCATCGGTAGCCATTCAAGTCTCCAAGGACCGCACAGTGACCAGGAGCGTTCTTTGTGCTTTAGGAAAGGCTTCGCTTCCATTCTCTCTGCTCCTCCATCCCACAGCCTCTTTCCCCCAGGGGGCAGAGACAGCAAAAGGGCAGAACCCAACAAACTGGTTTCCCCACGGCAGGAGGAGCTGTGTTGATGACCCATGGTGTCCCATCTCAGCTTCTTGCTCAGGTCTCTGTAGGACCACATCCCGCCTCACCGCTCCGCAAGGAGCCTGCTGCTGGGCGCCTCATAGCGTGCAGCAATTTGTGGAGGGCGTCACCAACTCTTTTAATTGGCCTGATTGCAAACGAGCCTTCCCTCTCCTTCTGGAGCTGTCACAGGGACAGGCGTGCACAGCAGACACACAGCTGCCCCCGGCTTCCTGCAACCAGGAGCAAGCCAGGTACGCCGTGCTTTGTCCTTAGCTACAGCTGATGGATTTGGTGGCAGCTGGAGGCTTTGCGCTCGTACCTGTTTCACTGAATGGCATTTTTTGTCTTTCGCCCTGCGCACATGGTGTTGTGACGTCGGGTCAGGGCTGCAGCGTGGAGCTGCTTCTGTCCAGCCACCTCCACTCATGGGGATGGAGGTCACCCTGCCAAGAGGTCTGGGCTGTCAGACTGAGGACTGACGCTCTGGGGGACGTCAGTTTGAGGGCTGACAGTTTGGAGGGCGTTGCTTTAGAGGATGGCAATGTTGGGAACATGGGGTTAGTGTTTTGGGGGTTGTCTGTATGGGGGATGTCACTTTTGGGGGATGTCGCTTTGGGGGACATCATTCACCCATAGGAGCTTTGGGAAGGGTGGAAGCTTGCACCATCACAGCAGTGGTGTGGCGGCCTGGCCAAAGAAAACCCCCTAACTGAGCCCTAAATCCTGCAGCACACCAGCAATGCAGGGCTTTGTTAAAACCCTGAGGTGCTGGCTGTCCTTCCCAGGCTTTGAATATTGGTGGGCACGCAGCATCTTTCCAGGAATCAGCCCAAAGGAGAACATTGAGTGGCTTTTTTTCTTAGTATGCGTTACGTGAGGTGAGAGATTTATTTATTGAGGGGCAGCAGCCACTTCAAACTGAGGCTTCTTTCCCATTTCTGTGCTTTTTTCACTGTTATTATTTTGTTTACAGAGATGAGGTTTATGCAATCAGATGGGATTTCGCTTCTTGTTCCCCCAGAAATGTTTCAACCCCAGGATTGATTTCAGCCAGATTGAACAGAGGAATGCAGATCAGGTGCTTTAAGGAAATGGGTGGAAGAAGGAAATCCCAATTTCTTCCTGGCCACAGGGGGGGACTGCAGCCGTGATGTTGGCTGGGTGCAGGTGGGTTACCTCGGTGACACCCAGTGGGATTTGAGGCTTATGGTGGGGCCAGGTCTAAGCCTCACAAAATGTTTTTTAAGCAAAAAATCCAGGCAGAGCCCAAAGAAGGAGTCATCTGTAGAGAGACTGCTGGAGATCTGAACCTGGTCCCCTCCATCAGCTGGCAGCAGGGATTTTCCGTGCCTTGTGGGACACCTCGTTATTGCCTCTCTTGTTATGGCAGCACTTTGGGGCACTGAACCAACGGATACTGAAAATGTCCACTCCAAAGAGCTGATAGTCCAGGGTATGGCCCCAAATCTCTGAATTCAATAGGATTTTCCTTGTCTAACCCCCTTTGCATCACCTGCCATCTGAGTAGGCGGTGAGGATGTGCCGTGATTGGCGCTGCACAGAGCAGAAGTTTTAAGCCCTTGACGGGATTTACGGAACAGGACAGCGCCTGGCTGCACTGCCTCGCTGTCTGTGGGCTGCTAACGGGGAATGGGAGCATCTTGGTGTAGGGGCTTCTCACGGAGGTGGCTTTTCAACACGGGATTGTGGAACTGCAGAGCTGTGGAATGGTTGGGTTGGAAGGGACCTGCACAACCACGGACCCTTGGTGGTCATCTTCACTGGGTGCAGGGCTTGGAGCTTCTTGGTGGACGCCAGATTCATGAGAGCTGAGTTGGAAGCCGTGCCCTGTGCTGCCTTCTTGGTGATGGCTGTTACTACAGCTGCAGCCTGGGGCCACCTGCTCTGCCCTTCCCTTTCCGCCATCACTGCTTGCACTTTTTCTTTTTTTTTTTTTTTCTGGGGATTCTGTTCCTTTCTTGTCAGCTCGCAGAACGATTTTCCTTACTCTATTTAGGGCTGTGGGGGAGGAAGTGACTCAGCCATTCCTCTCTTGTCTCTGCACAGTCATCCCTGCCGGCTCGGCTCTGCTCCCCGCACACCGCTCCGTATGAGCGCTCCATGCAATAGCAGCCTGTCTGATTCCTCACCCCATGTTTGGGTGAGAAAAGGCACTTTTTGGGGGCGGACGATGTGCCAGGCGTATCCTCACAGCACGCTGCTTGAGGAGAACAAGCTGCCAGCCTGGGGACCTGCGAGCCCCGACAGCAGCAGAGATGGGAATGGGCTCATCTGGGGTGGTTTGGAGAGAACTGATGGCAAGCCATGTGCTGCATTTCAAGAAAAAGAGTGCGTTTGTTTCAGGTTAATTGCTGTCTTCTGGAAGCTAGCACAGCTGGCTGCAGCATCGCTTTGCTCTGAGGGGAACCTACAAACCCAGCCTCCCCAGAGCCCTTCCTCTCCCCACCAAACCAAAACACTCAAACCCA